AGACCAAGGAACTCTGCTTTCCTTCTTCGTAGATGCAATCAGATTAGTTTCTTCAGCTGTGTTCATTTTCCTTTAAGGGCGTTTTCGTTCTCCATTTTCATTTCTTAATAATCCCACTCATACGATCACATTGAGGTACTTACACTGACATCGGTTTCCTTTCAATAGTTTTCTTAACATTCTAGACCGTGTGATGCCTCAGGAAAATATATCCACTCTTGTTTATACCTATCTTGTCAAGTACTGTGAACGCAGCCCACTTCCAGTTCTAACTTCTTGCTGCTGGAAGCTAAATGTCATTGCGAAATCTATTTAAAATAAAGGGAAAAAGGACGAATTTACCCCCGAACTTTGATAAATGGTACGTCTATGCCCTCCGTTATACTTTGGGTCCATCTCAGCCCCTGCCGTCCAATTATCGGTACACACATGCCCCTCTCACTAACGGCCCCCTCATCCTATACACGTGTTTTAATCCTAATCAACTACCCGTTTGATCATTATTTTTAACCCATAAACTAACAACCCGCCCCATAAACCCATACCCACCCGATTCCCTCTAAAATATTCAATTAAAAGACCCAAATCTTCCGGGTCTCATTATAAACGAATTGTAACATCCGACAATTTAAAAATGAATATGAAGAAGCTTGAAATTTGGAAATAGTCATTTTTGGAAAAAATTAAAATCTGGAAAATTTGGCTAAGTGTGGAAATCAGTGAGTTTTTGGCCAACTTTGAGCAGTCATAACTCCTAGATCAGGATGATTTAGGAGTAGTTCCAGTTATGGTTTCGAAGCTTGTGGAACGATCTTTCCAACGCCACTGAGTTTGCTCGATTCCGAGTTCGTATGAGCGAGTTATGATCTTTGAAAGTTGGGCAGTTGGCAGGGATTCCGTTCCGGAAATTTAAGGGCATTTTGGTCTTTTCACAAATAATTTCTTTTGAGCTTATATTGTTGTATTAGGCTGATATTTGGATCATTTTGTCCCATTTTGAAAGAGAAAGAGTTAGGGTTCAAGAGAAGAAGAAGAGAAGAAGGAGAAGAAGAAGAGAAGAAAGAGGAGATCAACAAGATTTGTCAAGATCATTGTGGATTTTCGTCGGGGGTGATCCCTATCAAGGTATGTGAGTCTTTAGTGTGGGTTTATCCTTTCCCCCCACATACCAAGCTCGTTTTTATGATTTGAGAAGAGATTGGATTTGTTGTTGAAGTTGTTGAAGTTGTTAGTTGTTGTTGATGTTGTTAGTTGTGTTGTTGAAGTTATTGTTGGTTGTGGGACAGGATTGGGCTGTGTATTTGAGTTGTGACCTATTGTATATTGAGGGATTTTATGATCCTTAGTGTTGGTTGGTTCATACCCCCACACACCAACTCGTTTTTAATTCCAAGAGAAGATTTATTGGTTGTTGAAGTTGTAGTGGTGTTGTGTTGAAGTTCTTGCTGATTTAGTACAGATTTCTGGCTGTGATTTTTGAGTTGAATCTATTGTATAATAAGGGTCTTTATGATTCTAAGTGTTGCTGCTGAAACCTTGAGGTTGAGAGGGTTTAGAATTGGAAAGAAACAAGGGGAAAAAGTCGGATTTTTGGGGAAAAAGGGGCTGGGCTGTTGCACCTCTCCTAGTGCCAAGGACACCAATCCTTCCCTTTCATTCACCATTTCTTTTTTTATACATGTTCCTAGGTATTATACCTATGTTTCCTAGTTGTTTCCAACACTCCAAGGTACTTCCAAAAGTCAAGTAAAACTACAAGTCAAGTGAAGTTAGTTTCCAAGTCAAGTGAAGTTAGTTTCCAATTCAAGTGAAGTTAGTTTCCAAGTCAAGTGAAGTCAAGCTTAGAAGTAAGTAAGTCAAAGCAAGTCTTTAAGGTTTTCCAAGAGTCTTCATTGAGCGTTTTAACTTCATTCTAAGGCTCAAGTTCCAAGTTAAGTATTGAGTTTCAAGTTAAGTCAAAAGTTAAGAGTTTCATGTTAAGTTAAGAGTTTCATGTTAAGTTAAGAGTTTCACATCAAGCCAAGAGTTCAAGTAAAGTAAAGAGTTTAAAGTTGAGTTCTTTTCTCAAAGTTATTAGGGAACTATGTATTCCCAAAGAAGTTTTAAAGAAATGTTTTTACATTTAAACAAGGTTGGAAACTGAGATTTCCAAAAAGCCTTCGGGCTAGTTTTTGAGTAATTATCTCATATCAGCAGGAAGAAATATGTTTTAAAAACATAAGAGCCAGTACATTTTTGGGAGTAGTATCGAGCACCGAATTGGGGGAGCGTTCAAAGAACCCACAGCCCCCATAGAACCATGTTAGCCACCATAGGTAGAAAAGGATCATACTTTTTAGATGAATCCTTTTCAGATTAGACTAGTGGATCCATTAGGCAGTTCAGGTCTTATGCTTTTGGCCGGGTATAAGATGCTCTGGCAGCGTGAGGACGATCGCTGTATCATCACTATAGCTCTTATGTGATGGTTGTCGGTTAGAGAAACTCCCACAGCAGTTATTGTATTTTTCATACACAGAGATTATTGTATTTTTATATACATCAGTTCATTGTATTTCTATATACATTTCAGGCTTATTGTATCTTTGTATACACACAGAGTTTATAACATGTTTTAAACAGTCTTTCTTTATATCACACTTGTTTTAAATTGCCTTATATTGAAGAAGTCAGTCAGGTTGAGTTGAGTTGAGCCAGGTAAGCTATTCAGTTTCTTCCAGATTTCCTTCTAGCCTCTGTTGCTTAGTTTTCCAGCTTGCATACTCGTACATTCCATGTACTGATGCCAGTTGGCCTGCATCGTTTGATGATGCAGATTCAGGTACCCCGGATCAGCATCCTGCACGTCGTTGATCCAGCTGAGCACTCCAGAGTCAGTGGTGAGCCTCCTTGCATTCCGGAGGACTCAATTATTTTGTGTTCTTAGTTTTTGTTTTATTAGGATGTTGCGGGGTCTGTCCCAACATCCATCTCAGTATTTTAGAGGCTTCATAGACAGACAGTCAGTCAGTTAGTTTTGAGTCTCTCATCTATATATATATGTAAATATTCTATTTTGAGATTCGAGTTGCCTTTATGGCCATATTTTATAAGTTAAGTTGTTTTGTAATATTGCATTGCATTGAGTTATTCTGTTGAGGTTTCCGCTGAGTTAAGAAAGCCAGGCCAAGGGTTCGCTTGGGGCCAGAAATGGTCTCCGGGTGCCGGTCCCGCCCAGGGTGTAGGCTCGGGGCGTGACACGAATAATTCAATCAAATTGATATTGAGATGGCCCTTGAAGCTTTGAATTCTCCAACTGGTACTTCAAATCCGCAGACGTTTCAATTTGAGAGCAAAGGTCAGTAGCAACTTCGGTACCTTGAGAATTGGACTAAAGGGAAGAGATCTAAGAGGCCACGGAGTATGGATCGCCAGCCGACTGAAGAGGGATATTTGGCGCTTTGTTTGATTATGCTTGCACGGAGCGATGGCTCTGTTAATCAGGTACTATCTCTACCATCGCCGGTGACAGTGATGAAAATCCACGCGCCGTCGGAGAAGATGGAGGAGAAGATGTTGTATAAGTGTTCGGTTTATGGTAAGGGATTTGGATCTTATCAAGCTTTAGGAGGACATAAAACTAGTCATCGGAAACTCGTCGCCGGTGGCGGAGGAGGAGATGATCAGTCGACTACCTCTACTACTACTAATGCTACCGGAACTACTAGCTCCGGTAATGGTAACGACTGTGGAAGACTCACGAGTGTTCGATTTGCCACAAGTGTTTTCCTACTGGACAAGCTTTGGGAGGACACAAACGGTGTCACTACGACGGCGGTAACGCTAATAGTAGCGTTAGCGCTAGTGTCGGAGTTACGACGTCGGAGGGCGTGGGGTCTACAATCAGCCACCGTGATTTTGACTTGAACATTTCGGTGTTGCCGAAATTCTGTCCTGGATTTGGTTCCGGCAAGGATGAGGTAGAGAGTCCACATTCGGCGAAGAAATCTCGGCTATCTCTACCTCCAAAATTTGAATTATTCCACTCAATTCTCATTTTTAAACTCTCAAATTTTTTGTGTTTTTGATTTTGTAGTGATTGAATTGAAAATTGACAGGGAGAAATGAATAGAGTTGGTGTAGAATTAATAGAGATTGAAAAAGAAGTAACGGAAAAAATGAAAGATGGTGATGGTGAAGTGAAGAGAATTCTTCCATGGACTAAACAGATCACAGTAGGAGGAATTGTGAGATAGGAATGAGACCCGGAAGGTTTGGGTCTTTTAATTGAATATTTTAGAGGGAATCGGGTGGGTATGCGTTTATGGGGCGGGTTGTTAGTTTATGGGTTAAAAATAATGATCAAACGGGTAGTTGATTAGGATTAAAACACGTGTATAGGATGAGGGGGCCGTTAGTGAGAGGGGCATGTGTGTACTGATAATTGGACGGCAGGGGCTGAGATGGACCCAAAGTATAACGGAGGGCATAGACGTACCATTTATCAAAGTTCGGGGGTAAATTCATCCTTTTTCCCTAAAATAAATAAAGCACAGAGCCAACTTTCCTACCTTTGAGTTCTGTTTGAAAATGTTTTCATAAAAATGAACAAGTTAGCTAGTATGGAATAGGTAAAAGAGACCAAATATGTAGGCTTATACTAAAAAAGAAAGAGTCCAAGTATTTAAAAAAGACAAAAAATCCCCGAGTGATATAAAAAATTAAAGATAACAATAAAATCAAGTGTTAATAATAAAAAAGATTCAAACTTGAAATGTAACATATTTGAATTTTCAATAATAATATATTTTTATCATTATATTAGTAAGCTGTTATTTAAGTTTGTTATAACTGTTTGTTCTAAAAGCGTGGATAAATTTGGTAAGCTATTATTTAAGTTTGTTACAACAGTTCTAAAAGCGCGGATAAATTTACTAGTGCTAACAGTATAATAGGGTTCCTAGAATATGTAGGGTTTTGATTTACTTTTTCACTGTCACTTACCCTGCAACTTCCAAGCCATGGGGACTGCTGACATGTTGCCTGTATGCCTCATTCGCAAAATACTCTGTTATCTTAGTTATCGAGAAGCATCCCGGATGAGAATTCTCTCCAAAACATGGCTACTAGCCTGGTTGGATCTTCCCAACTTGGAATTCTCGGGGAAAAGCATAGCAATAGTGGATAATATTATGGAGAGATATAGGGACGGAAATATTCCTATTGACAAGTTTGAATTTGACAACTCTAAAAAGCCTGATCGTATTTCTGCTCTGATTGATAAATGGCTCGGCATTGCTCTTCAAAATGGCGTAAGACATCTAGTGTATAGAGATGTTACACATTCAAAAATATACCCCTTTCCTATTTTTAAATTCTTGGAAGCAAATTTTTTAGGAGAACTAGTCCTGATGGGTTGTGATCTGATGCATGTTTCATTATCTAATACTAGTAATGTGGTGATCTGTCATTCTTTGAGAAAGCTTTCTCTATCTCGTGTACGCTTAGATAAGAACATGCTTCAGACTATACTCACTAGTTGTCCCTTCATTGTTGATTTAATCATCAGGAATTGTACTCGGCTGAAAAATGTTGAGCTCCGGAATCTTCCTAAGATCAAGTCACTTGCCATTGATATTGACCATCCCATTAAAATCGAAGCACCAACTCTTGAACACTTGTATTATTCTAGTTTTTGTTTGAATAAATTGAATATTGATAAATGTAAGAATCTGAAATCTTTAGAGATATCATGTACGAAGATATCTGATATATATCTCAACCGCCTTATCTTCAGACCTTACTGCCTCGAGAAATTGGTATTAGCTAACATTTCTTTAGGAAGGTTTAACGTTTGCAGGAGTCGATCCCTAAAGGTCTTAAAGATTCATAATTGCAAGAAAATCGGAGCAATTTATGCTCCAAATTTGGTTTTGCTGGAGTATAAAGGACATGATATTCCTCAGCTTAAATTTGCACAAGAATCAAGACAATTGAAGCAGTCACAAATGATTCTTTATCCCTTGTTCAATGTAGACGCGGCATGGTTTTGTCAGCTGAGGCAATCTCTATCAGATTCGATCTCTTGGTCTCAAGTTACCATTTATTTTCACAAATACGAGGAGATCAACATGAATGATTTGCAGCTGCACTGTAGAGATGCTATCCCCAAAGTGGACGTTTTAGATGCAAATTTTTTAAGGCCTACTGGAGAGTGCTCGACGTTTGTGGATGCCTTGCTGTGGAGTTGTCGTCCCAGGAAATTCAACCTACAATCAACAAGTGAAATGTTTACATGTTTCATGGATCGTTTGATGCATATGAAGAGTTTGAGATGCACTCTTACTCATGAAATGGGTTGTTTGATGCATATGAAGAATTGGAGACGTGCTCTTTCTCATGAAAGGCATGGTCAATTAAAAGAGGTAAAAGTCTACAAATTTGATCAGAGAAATCAGAGTTGGCATCCTGTAGAACACAAAAGAGGAGAGCTCTCAATAAGGACCGTTAGCACGTTGGAGAAATATTTCTTTTTATTAGATTGGTGAAGCAGTGTATTCGCAATTTGAACTCCCTTATTCTCTTAGAAGTAACGAAATGCACTTCAATTTTTCGCAGCAAAAACTGTTTTTTTTATCAGATAAATGCAGAGAGCTTTACTTTTTTTAATCTTCTATCGGAGGTTTATTCTTAGTCGTAAAATTTGATTTTGTTTATGTTAGCTTGATACTTGGATTTCTTTTAAGGGAAGGCAATATGAATTATTAGTTTTTGTGTAATCATTGGTTTAACTTGCCTAAGATTAGAATAGAGAAATATGATGTGAAACAGTATATTTCCTCAACTTATAGCAACGGTATAGTTGTCTCTGTGTGACCTATAGGTCATAGATTTAAACAGTAGATTTAACTTGCCTAACATCAGAATAGAAAAACGAGAGGATCACTATAAACACGATCTACTACACCATTCTGAAGAGCAATGCCAAGACACTTATAAATCAGACAGAAAACTTCACAGAGTCTGTAACGTTGCATAATTTAAACTTATCGATAGGGACTTCTCCGTGATTCTATCCTTGTATATGGGATAGAATCATCTGTATTAACCCTAATGTGCAAGAGAATCTCCAAAATATAAAGGGCCATACAAAATTTATTTTAGTATAGTTTATTAACCTGAAATCCTTGTGAAACCAATATCATTTTTTACTTAATACAGATGAAAATAATTGATCATATAAAACACTTAGAATGGAGGGAGAATCACATAAGCCTAAATTTGTATTAGTTTTAACAACACAAAGTCCCACTGATACCTGCAACTATCTTTATCTGTCGAATTTCATGCTATCAATAGGAGTTGAATCAACAAATCATATAGACTGATTCAATGCAAAAACCACAAGTCTTGTAAAATGGACCTCGAGTTTCATGTTATCAATAGCAGATGCATAAGCATCAATGCAGTTAAGTTGTTCAAAGGTTTCATACCGAACAACTGGTCCCTTTTTGACAAACAAGAGGATCTATAACAAAAGCAGGTAATCACTGAGGCAATACGTGCCATAGTAAATGGTCAGAGAGACAACTTATACTCGATTTTGCCTTTGTCAAGCTGCCACAGGAACATATGAATCCTTATTGTGGAGTTCATACACTAAACGTCTCAGAACGAAGTACTACAACTTCTATTTATCTCTAAAAGCCAGGTCCATAGACATCTATATAACGCGACATTATATTAGTCTAAAATAAGAAAGGTGCTTAGTGGTTCGATAGACAATACTCCCACCAAATAAGAACAGATGCACAGACCACAGAAAGCAGAAGTCTAAAACACAACTGTATACCACATAAGTTTTTCTTTTCAACACAGTAATAGTTTGCAATAACTAAAATATCTAATACAAGTGTCTCAAAATTGAAACAGAGAAGTACTTACAAGAGATAAAAATTAACTGTATCACCAATCTAATAAAAAACGAAATCTATTCCTCTCGGTATAGTACCTTATTGCCTCCTTTCCCCTTCCGAGTTCCACAAAATGCCATCTCACTTCTCCCCAATCAAATCTATAGACTTTTACTTCTTTTAATTGACTCGAACTCTTCATGTACATTAAACGGTCCATGACATATCCAATCGTTGTACCATTTGACTCGAGGAGGAGTCTCCTAGGATGACAACTCCATGGCAATTTAGCATCCACGAAAATCGTGGGCACTAGATTTCCCTCATACACAAGTGACACCAAATTTGGAGCGTCAACAATATCCAACTTAGGAGAAGTTTCCGGTTGAGTAACATAAGACAAGTGTTCAAGAGTTGGTGCTTGAATTTTAACGAGCTGGTTTCCAGCTTTCCAAATTAAAACCAACTTGATCTTTTGAAGATTATTCAGTAGCTCAATCTTTTTCAACCCGTAACAATTATCAAAGATGAAACTGACAATAAACGGACAACTACTAAGTAGAGTCTGAAGCATGTTTTCATCTAAAACTACATCAGATAGAGTAAGCTTTCTCAACGAATTGCACTTCACCACACCACTAGATAATGAAACATGCTTTAAATTACTACCCCTTAGAACCAATTCTCTTAAAGATTTTGATGCAAAGATTTTGAAAATAGGCAAGGGGTACGACGTATAGCTAGGAACACCAAAGACAATGTGTTTTACATCGTTCTGAAGTGCAATGTCAAGCCATTTATCAAACATAGGGAAAACTAAACGCAAATAACTAAAGTCTGATAATTCAAACTTTTCAATAGGGATTTTTTCATCCCGATATCTCTCCATGATATTATCCACTATTTTCAAATTGTTGCGATACTTAACTGTGAATTCCAAGTTGGGAAGAGTCGAACATGCTTGCAACCATGTTTTCGAGAGAATACTCAACCGAGTTGCATCTGTTAAACTAAGGTAAGAAAGTATTTTATGAATGAGACATTCAGGCAATAGGTCAGCCATGGTAGGAGAAGTTGCAACGATACAAATTAAAATAACCTATACACAACCCCTAATTATATAAGGATGGTTTTTGAAAAAAAAAAAAGGATGGTATATTATTTATTTTAATATTACTTCTTACACGCGTGTGCATATATTTTGTGAGAGAGTCAAATTATTATTATTATATAAAAATTACTCCCTCCGTCCCATTTTATGTGACACTTTTTGGATTTCGTGATTCAAACAAGTCTAACTTTGACCGTAAATTTTTCATAGATCTTTTAAACATTTTGAATTATCAATTGTTGTAACTTATAATACTTTTTACGTAGTTTACAAATATATAAATTTCATTTCAAAAAAAATGAAGATTTCATGCGCAAATTCCCGGTCAAACTTAAACTGTTTGACTCTCGAAAAATGAAAAGTACCACATAAATTGGGACAGAGGGAGTATTATATATGTATGATTTTTTTTTATAATATATACACATGATATAAGTTTTTATATCTAAAATATACCATATATTTTATGGCAAAAGTGGAAGTAGTTTTATGTTGAAAAAATTGGTTATTTTATATGTCATAATTGATAATAGCGATGAAGGTGGAGAAGAAAACAAAACATATTAATTAAGGTAAGGCCTTGGCCCCCTTGTACTTATTCGCATTGAGGATTTTATCTTACTATTAATAAAAGGCCGCTAGACGCCCTGTCTAGTGGTATAAATTTGTTTTTTAAAAAAGATATATAAAAAACTAGAAAACATTTTCATTGCCCCTTCTTTACCACTAAATGTCAGTCAGTTTTGATAGGGGTTCACAAGTTAATATACATATATATTTATTTAATTTTCCAATATAAATACAGGATATACGGAAAAGCTATGAATTCGTTCAAACCCTCACTTATCTCCGCCCCTGGCTTATATATGTTGCAATATAAGCCAGGACTCCACTTTATTACATAAGATTTTGCTACTTCCATGCCAATTGAAACAGTTCTTCATGTCCAATTTGATCCATATATAGTCCTATAGTGAAATCGGGACAAGTCGTAGAGGACGTAATTTGCCTACTATAAGACCACTTTTCTCCTCCACATCTAAATAGTCGTCGCCTTCAACAACCCAATCAAATGAATTCAACAACGAACCCAACATTATGGGAACGGTCCTCATAGCCAAAGATATGGCAGGACACATTCTTCGACCAACACCAAAAGGAACAAGCTTAAAATCATCTTGACCACGAATATCCATAACATTAGAACCCCAAAACCTTTCAGGTTTAAATACCAAAGGATCCTCCCAAATAGTAGGGTCACGACCAATTGACCATATATTTATTATCACTTGTGAACCCTTTGGGACAAAGTAGCCACAAAGTTCAAATTCTTGCTCGGCCTTGCGAGACAAAAGAGGAACAGGCGGGTGGATCCGCAATGTCTCTTTCAAAATGCAATGCAAATAAGGAAGCCGAATGAGATCGGCTTCCTTTATTGCCTCTTTCTTGCCAACAACTTGTGCGAGTTCCGCTTTAGCCTTTTTCATTGCGTGTGGATTTTTCATCAGCTCTAGCATTGCCCATTCTAATGTAGCGGAACTCGAATCAGTTCCTGCAATGAAAAGATCCTGCAGCCACTCGAAAACAGAAAATATGCTGAAGAAATATTCAAAAACGTAATAATCTCTCTGTTTCAATTTTATGTATGATGTAGTTGGACTTGGACGTATAGAACATGAAATTTTAATTGAAGAAAGAAAAAGGAAATTTTTGAAGTATGTAAACGCTAACAGCTAAGTGATCTAACTTCATATATTCTAGATAAGTTATCTAAATGGAAGGAATGAAAAAACATCTAAATTAAAAGGGGACATATTGCTTATTAGTGCTTTTTTTCCTTTAGCGTCAAAACTTGGATCGCTTAGCTATATAAATACGTATATCAAGTTTACTTTATTATGTTTATCAAAATCACTTTAATGCTTATTTTTAGTTGACTTTTTTCACAATAGAATGTTATGAATCCAATGAAGATAAAATGGAGATAAGGTTATTAAATAGTTGTCAAATGTGACTTCTTTTATAGACCCAACTATAATGATAAGGTTATTAAATAGTTGTCAAATGTGACTTCTTTTTTAGACCCAACTATAATTGGATATATGGATAGAATAGGGTGGTGGATGACGTAAGAAGGGAAGGACCACCCTAAGCTTTCGAGACTTAAAAAATGGGGGAAACTATATAAATTGGACCCATCAAGTAAAGTATTTGGCTAAATTGGACCCAATCCAATATATTTATTCTGATTGGACCTACGGTCCAAATCATTTACCCGACTGCTCCTTGTTCAATTCAAGGAACCACTATTTCTTCATCCTTAATACCATTAGAGTATATATATATATATATATTTATACTTTGATGATATCAAGCAATAATTGGAAAATCTTTTCACCAAAATATTGCATGTTCCTTCTTGATGTAGACTCTAATGGTATCAAGGAGTAACTGAGTAGTGTTTTCACTAAAGCACTACCTCTCCTTCTTGATGTATACTCTAATGGTATCAATGAGTAACTGA